AAGATTCCCCCTTATATGGCCATCCGGGATGGGGAGGGGGTAGCACCTGACGAAGCAACAGAAGGGACACCCGAGCATTTACCTACGCACATGGCTGTGACCAATCCTTTTACGATTCTCTTTCTCCAAAGGAACAAGGGTCCCTTGTATATTGAATCGGTAACGCTGCGAAGGTGTGGTCACCTCTGCATCTCTTCCCCCCGTCATCTACCCCACCCAAGTTATTCAAAATGGTAATGGTCGCTCGTGCTTATGCTGATCTTGAGTGTCATTTGTGATAAGCGGTTCGTAATTATAGTGGATGACCCTGCCTTCCCCAATCATCTCCACGATGTTAGTGGGTGCATGTCTTTGTTTAATCAAAAGGGAGAGAAATTACTCTGAATCGTTTTCTCCCTGTACATCATTGTGTTGTGGGGGAAGGCTTGGTTGTCCATGTGTTAACTCTCCTTTTCGCTTACCCGAGAAGAGCTCACCTGCAATGCATGTGGTCCCCTAAACGCTGCCCCTCCCCCAAACCCCCCTTGCAGTTACAAGAAAACCTAATCGCAGAAGGGACACTGAGAGATGCCAAGGACATCTTCCTATTTAATAATTACGCCATTTGGCTAGTTAAGCTATCGCATTTGTGCTTCTTCTTCTTGCTCAGTGTTCAAAATACTTTTCAATTCTCACCCAGCTTGGTGTTTCTGGTGAGTGTGTTTAGAGAGCTACACGGAGCAGTGAGCCCTTGTCCACACGTCCGATTAACAAACGAAAGTGTGAAAAGATGAGTAGAGGTGCGCTTTTACACAAATATTTGTACTCCTTCTTGTGCAGGTTTTCTTCTTCGGGTTTTTTATCATTTGTTTTTGCTTTTGCATGAGTTGGTAAGGACACACACACACACGTACATGGGGTGGGGACAGTGTCTCCCTTTTAAAGGGGGGGTGTTGCTATCTCCATGGGGGCGTATTAATCGTCACCACGTGGTCGTTGCTTCGCCGCAGTGAGACAGTTTCCCCCCATGTGTGCCTACTTCGCAGGTATAGCTGTTTCTGCTTTATTAGTCGAGTAACAAACGAGGAGCTAATCGGTAGGTTTTCTTTTTTTCAACTCGAGAAACGCTTCTCCCTTGCTAGTAGTTACATTTGTGTATTTGCCAAGTGTGTGTACTTGGTTAACTCACCTTCCCATCCACCTCCTCATGGCAGATGAAGAACTGAACCCCTCCATGCTGAACGAAATAATTCCTCAGTAAGATGACGTCGCTTCATGGGCCACTTGGCCGAGGGTGAAAAATGAACTAGCCTTTTTATTTTACCCCACGTTAACCTTTTTTTCCTTTTCCATGCGGGTTTGCAGGATTTTCTTCTCCGTGTGCTCCTTTTTGTTGATAAGCGTAAGGCGAATTAGAACGAGGTGGAAATGCGGACCATGCGGTTGAGTCCATTTCTCGTCTGCCACGTTTCACCTCTTCAACCATACACGTGTCTTTTTTTTTTTTTTTTTTTTTTTTTTTTTTTTTTTTTTTTTTTTTTTTTTAACTTGGCAGGTACTTTACTTGGGGCATCTGCTAGTCTACCTGAACGTTCAGAACGATGTCATTTCGGTATGTACACTAGGAGAGGAATTAAAAAATTCGTAGTGCCACTTCACTTTTTTTCCCCCCCCTTTTTCTGCTGAGACAACACTGTGGAATTTCTCCATTTCGACCATCACCACGTCCTCTTCCTTATGTAGGTCCCCATCGAATCCCTAATGATTTTCTTTTTTTTCTTTTTCTGCTGTGTATTGTATGGGGCCCTCTTCAAGTACAACAATTCGGTGGTAAGGGATGGGGAGCGAAGAAGCGAGTTGATCTGCTGGAGCGCGCCGCAGCTTGCCACAACGCCCTACATCATATACGCTTGCGTCCATTTTGTCCTGCCCTGTTTGCCTCCTTCACCCTGCAGGGCGTCTTCCTTCTCGGGGCCAACGGAATAGCCACTCTGGTGCTTTCCTTTTACCAGGTTTGACTTTCGTGCGGAGAGAGGGAGATAGAGACAAAGAGACCCCTCCCTCCCTTTGTATGAGGGGCACCAATTTCATTTCGCATTCATTTCGATTTCCCCTTTCACGGTTCTTCCCCATTCACCCCACAGGAGAGCAGCCTCCTTCTACCCTCCCTTTTAAGTGTAAGTGTAGTGTGTGCTCCGACGCCGTTGCAAAGGGGCGGCCCCGTCACTAATGCAAACCCGACCTGCATCGAAGCCTGCACAAACGACCACACGTCTAACGACACTTCTATCCACCGTGACAAACACCCGCGCGCAGACCGGACTCTACCTGGCACACCTAATTAGGAAAAACAAACAGAACAAATTATTTTATCGAGAGCGAGAGGGGGACTACGTGCAAATGCTCATGTACACGTCCGCGTCAGCCTTTGCTTCACTCCTACTGAAGGTAAGCGTTCCACGGGGGTGCTGCACGGTGGCCTCTCCATTCGATTCATTTGTTCGGGGCGTGGAAGTGAACGGTAGTAGTTTTATCCCAACGCACAGGTATACACACATATATGTAGCACCTCTCATTTTTTTTTTTTTTTTTTTTTTCCACGTAGAATTTGAGCCTGATTAACTACCAGTTTCTCTGCTTCCTATTGATCCTTTCATCCGTAAGGGGAGAGAGAGAGAGACAGAGTGTGTGGAAGCCCTAGAGGCCAGCATGATATACTTCTTCTGGCTTAACGTGTACGCGTATTATATAAAACCATACCTATGCGATTATAGGGTGGAAAAATGCTGGTTTTTTTTTTTTTTTTTTTTTTTCCCCCTTTTTTTCCCCTTTTCCTTTTTTTTTTAAAAGTTTTTTTTTTTTTTTTTTTTTTTTTTTTCCTACGCCTCTGCTGGGGGACAAAAGCGCAAAACAGTTAGCCATTCTTCACCTGCATTTTTTTTTTTTTAAATGTTTTTCGACCATGTGAGAGATTATAAAAAATGATATATAGATGAATACCTAACGCGCGCTCTATGGTTGAGATTGGCTATTTTTTTTTTTTTTTTTTAAAACTGTTTTTTTCTTGTAACAGCCATATGTGCATTTACATACCGTTTTTGTATCACCTGAGAGGAGGGGGCCCCCCACACTAGTTAAACAAAGTGACGGCTGGATCCACATATAACTAAACACACACACTGGGTGTACCCGTAGTGACGCCGGGTATACAAGTCCGTGGCTCGGCCACCGGGAGGAGTCACGTTTGTTACGCGTTGCAAGTGCAGCCCAGGCCACCATGTCCATTGGGGATAAACTGAACGAGGCCTTATGCTGGCTGAAGGAAGAGTTCGATGAACTGATAACTGACCTGGAGGTGGACAAAAGTGAAATAAACGTAAGTGACCTCTGCACAAAGATTAACAACACGTTCAGGAATGTAAACGGCGCAGAGGATTATTCCCCCCTGTGTGCAGATGACCAGGGAACGAGCAGCGGGAAGAGAATAAAGGAACGCATTAACCATGAGGAACTCGTACCCTGGGGCCATTTGAATTACTCCCTCTTCCATTATGTACACCTATATAATAAAATTTACGAAACGCTCCTTATTGACGATGAAGACTTTTGCTTTAATTTCGATGCAGAAAATTTATATGCAAAGAGGAGGTTTTCCCGGAGCTTGGCGTTCCACCCGCTGATTAGTCCTGTTGACGTTTCATATTTTAACTTTCTGTTGTTTTGCATTTCGGGTGGGGCGTACGATAAGGTTAGGGGGGGGCA